TAAAAATTAACAATCATGTTATGAAAATTCATACGAGTTGTGAAAATTAAGAAATGTTGTGAATTTTCTCAACAAGGTATAACTTTTATGAAACTTTTCTGAAAAGTCATAACTGTTAAAGGTTCAAAAAATATCAATTTGTTTTACATTTGTACTGCCGCAGTAGTCCTACTAATATTTCGCACGCGTATAGATAAGTACATGCGCAAATTTCGAAATAGAATGACGGGAAGCTAAAGTCGATGTTTCAAATCTTTGGGGAATGTTGAGTACAAATAAATGTCTATATTCTCTAACGATATCGGAAGTTGAACAGTTTTTGACTGTTTCAGAATTAGGACGGTTATCCTCACATCGTCTGCGAATAGGGTGTTCCAGGCTATCTAAAACGGAAGTGAAAAAGAACAAACCCACCGATTAATCTGTTTCCGTCTGCTCAGTATGAGAAATTGCCATGGTAGTTTGGTCCGATTCTAACCTCTTAAATATGGAGGCGAACTCGAAACTGACCTGACAGTTTTTCATACCTGAAACGCCGTCGTGACACGTGATCAGCTCAACCGATCAGAGCCATCACGGAAACAGAAAAGTCAGTGAGTTTGTTCTTTTCCTATTTCCGTTTCGGATAGCCTGGAATACCCTATTAGGACGGTTATCCTCACATCGTCTGCATCTTAAACGTTAACATTCAACACATAGTATGGCGTTGTCGCTTAGTAACATTTAGCTCGCGCTGATAATATACAACGGCCTCTCACCTAGGGTGCTGACCCGTCAACAGTGTAGTTGTGTCTCCCTCTAAACGTAGGGGTTAGTTTCTCTTTGTTTTCGACATTTTCTGCTGCTGCGCGTAAACAGGACGTCCCATCGGTCTCAAAAACTGTGTGCAGGTGTATCTCACGATCCCTCAAGCTACCCTGAAGCCGATCCGCCACAACCACCGCCTGAGGGGCGTAACTGTCACAGTTGTGGCCACCCCCACCCTAGGGGTAGTTTACGGCCGGCGTCGCATTCTTCACCAGGTTCTTGTTCAGTACGGCCTAAACATTCCTTCCTGGAGTTTCCCAGATTTTTCTAAGCCTCTTAAGGGTGAAAAATGTGGAAATTTCAGGAAGGGGTTGATCGGGTCGTACAGCCCTCCAGGGGTTGCGAGGGTGAAACGGACACTTTGCTCTTGTTGCCTACGTCAAACCACAAGACGTGCTGCGGCGCGAGACGCAATTCCAAAAATTCAACCCATTTCAGGGGGTTGGGGTGAACGGGTGGGTAGGGGGTGGTTTCTCGGAGGGGGTTGAACGTGTCCAAAATGTTAAAGTGGGGTCCTAGGGCGCCCGTACACCAAATTTGAACAACTTCCGACACCCTCTTCCACCAAACCTTTCACGTTTTGTACGACTTTTCCACCCCCCGTGCGCGTTAGGGATTGCGTATGACGTGCGGGGTGGCGCACGAACTTAGCGTTCAGTGAGGGTGAACGACACACCCCAGGCGTGAAACATGCCTAATTTCACGTTCCTACCTGCATCGCAAGTAATTTTAATCTCAGAGCGAAAAAAATGGACCGCTAATAATTGTTTTGACAAGTGTATATTAGCTATTTTAGCTTAATAATTAGCTAAGCCAGCTTAAATTGTGATCTAGGGCCAAAGTAATGCATAAGCTATTTCACCTCATACTTTTTTTCCTGTGGTTTCGTGCCCCTTTGATTCCATATCGTCTCTTTGGTACCATCTAATCACAGAGAACGGACGTGCGAGGCAAACAGTTGACTGTAGTATTTCTGTTTTTTTTCCTCGTTTAATTTTTCTAACGATGGTGGGGTAGTCTACTAGAAATTTCTCAGGAGTTTTTCGAAATTATGCGGAGAGTAGGTATCAGAGAGGTGAGGAGTCGGACAGAGGGAGACGGGTCGAGGTGGCAGGGAAGGGATGGTGAGTTGATTAGACTGTTTGCACCCCTCCTCCCTCTCCTCTACCTATATCACCTTTTTATCGACGTTGTCCTGGGTCTGAGCTGAGCTTTATTTAGACCCCATCCATGCCCCGCTCTCTTTTCCAAACACCACCGTGTACCGTGCATGTGACCATGGTGAAAACCGAGCGTAAACAAACTCCGAATTTAAGTTTACACACGATTTCCGGATGTAGAGGGGATTTCAGAGATTTCTACATCGAGTCTTTGACTGGCTCAATAATTGCCACAAAATACCAGGGAGAGGGTGGGGGTCAAGAACCAACCCACTGATGATCAAGCTAACTCTCCAGAATTCAAAATCCCCCCCC